TTGGGTCATTTCCTGTGTATGAAAAGGAGAGATCAGCCCACTTTTGGTAACTATTCAATGCCTAATAAGAAATGGGTTAATCTTTTATTTTAGCCACTTCCTGTTGGGAAATGCAGTGAGCTGTTTGTGTCCTCCCAAAATTTATATGCTGAAACTATTCCAGTATGATGCTATTAGGAGGTGAGCTCTTTGATAGATGATTAGGTCATGAGGGTGGAACCCCCCGTTAGTGGGATTAGTGCCTTTATAAAACAGACCCCAGAGAGCTCCCTTGCCCCTTCCACCGTGTGAGGTGACACAGCGTGAACACAGCCATCTATGGACCAGGAGGCAGGCCCCCACCAAATAGCAAATCTGTCAGCACCTTGATCTTAGTCTTCCCAGTCTCCAGAACTGTGAGAAATAAATTTCTGTTGTTTATGAGCCACCTAGTCTGTAGTATTCTGTCAGAGCAACCCTAATGGACTAAGGCAGGAGAACAAACATGTTTAATCAAATGTGATTAGAAAATGCTGCTGGTGATGAGATTTGACTTCCTGATTGGTATCAGGGGAGGAGGGGAATTAGCAGAAAAAGATAAAGCTTAGATTATCTTTGTCTGCCATTTAGTGGCTCTTAATGCAAAATATATTTTGTTTTCAGAAACTATGGAGAACCTGTTGTAATTTGGGAATATTATAAACTTCTGATGTGATTATCAATGTATGAAAAGCTCTGTCAGAGTTACTTAGAGTTCTTGCTGCTTGAGTTTGGAGAGCCCTGGCATCTTAAGTTTTACAAGGTAGCTCGTCATATTTATACACTTGAAACTTTGAGAAAGGGACATGTGTTTTTACAGAGAGATTTGCATCCTTGTGTGCTGAGGCCTGCTGTCATCTCTCTATACCTGTAGCCTTTAGCCTTTACATTGACTATCTGGGAGTGGATCTGAAAGCAGGAAGCTCTGGAGGGAAACCACAGAGCAGTAAGCTGTTCCAAGGTGTTTGTCTTGTAAAACTAGCAGCCGTATTCACTCATTCTAGAAAGTTTATTGATTTTGTGCCAGGCAGTGTGCAAGGTCCTAGGACTGAAAATGAGAGAGATTAAGTTCCTGGCTTTGAGTTGCTCGCAGAGGTGTAGATGATATTTAAACAGGTGAATTAATTATATTGCAGCATGTAAATGCTATCTTTAAAGAGACCTGTGAGCAGTTTGCAGTGAGTATTGTACAGCCCTATGGGATTTGCATATCTTATCAAAACAATCTTGTGAGGTAGGTGGTATTAATATCCTCATTCTATAGAAGAAGAAATTGAAAATGGAGAAGTGCCCTAGATTTTATTATTGATAAGTGCCAGACTTAAACTTCTGATTGTAATCTTATGATCCTTGCACTGTTCACCAGTTCGCTTCTTAATAATTACCTTCCTCCTTTCCTTAGCTGGGGAGTCCCCAAAGGATTATGGGGCTTGCACCTCATTCACTGTTACTGTACCACAGGCATGCATTTGGTCCTGTTTTGGGACCATCAAGATCATCAACAAAAGTGTGTGCCGGTTTCATAATTGAAAAAGTTTATCAACTGAAAATTTTAACATTTGTGTGCACAGACCAGCTGAAGGACTATCAGACATTCTAAAAATGCTGGGCCATTGAATTAAGGGTGATAAACATACCAGTTTCAATTGGTTGAATGACCACATTCATGAATGTGTATTTGACAAAGCTGGCTCTGTGTAAATAAGCATCAGAAAAGCAGGCCAGGTGAAGCTGAGAGAGCCCGGGCCAAGCTAAACAGGAACATGGGCTACGGAGTTCGGTTGATTCAAACCTCAGCCCCATCACACACACTGCAACTTGGCCTGGAGCTTCTTTTTGTGCCATCGTAGTACGTGCCTCAAAGTGGTGCCTTATTGTGGGGATTCAATGGAGGGGTGTGCCTGGCATGATGGTGCTTGGTGAGTGTGTGTTTGAACCCCTTCTCCTGGGATCAGCACATTAAGACTGACTTTGGCTGCAATTTTGTAAAACTAACCAACAATTGATCTTGAATACCTTGGACGCCGTGATTACTAAGATGGAGTCTTAAAAGTGATATGCATTTAAAAAAAATTTTTTTTTAATTTATTTATTTTTGGTTGCACTGGGTCTTCGTTGCCGCACGCGGGCTTTCTCTGGTTGCGGCGAGCAGGGGCTGCTCTTTGTTGCGGTGCGTGGGCTTCTCATTGCGGTGGTTTCTCTTGTTGAGCACGGGCTCTAGGTGCGTGGGCTTCAGTAGTTGCAGCATGTGGGCTCAGTAGTTGTGGCACACGGGCTTAGTTGCTCTGCAGGATGTGGGATCTTCTCGGGTCAGGGCTCGAACCCGTGTCCCCTGCATTGGCAAGCGGATTCTCAACCACTGTGCCACCAGGGAAGTCCAAAAGTAATAAACATCTTTAACTAGTAGAATAAACTACCTTTCGATGATTTTTATAATTCTTTATTAATAATACATTGTTTATGTGGTATTTGAGAGCTCATGTAGTATTTTAGTAAATAGTATTTTAGTTCATTGTGTCTTAAATTTTTACCAACAAACTACCGTTAGTAACAGAGAAAAATAAGTCCTCTGTAGAGAGGAGGGGTGTGTGTGTGTGTGTGTGTGTGTGTGTGTGTGTGTGTGTGTGTGTGTGTATGGGGAGAATAGCTCAAAATGGCAAATAGGACATTTTTGGAAGGTCAACATTATATCTTGTATTTTTATCACATCAATATTCCATTTTTCTCTATAAAAAATTTGCATTACTACCAGTAGAATGTTTTAAATGTCTTGCCATTATAAAAATGATGGCATTTCAGAAGTTAAGCTTGTTTACCCTGGCTTCCAGTATGCTTGGCACACTCCCCATACCCTTTACTCGCCCACGTCATGGGAGAATCACCGTCCTACTACAGCAGTACAGCAGACCGATGAAATAGATTTAGTACTTATTTCATAGTTGAGGAAATAGAGGCCCACACATTGTAGTTTACCCAGGGTTACACAGCTACGAAGCAGGAGAGCTGGGAGGTTCTCTTAGAAGGCATCCCAAGTTCCTAAATCCAGCCTGCTCTTACATCACTCCTTCAGTAGTGAGGTAATATTTACTAAGAAGATGATGGTATGTAATGTGCTGGGTATAAGTTGGTAATAAACAGAATTATAAGTAGTTCTCTACCCTTTGAGCAGTTTGATTGGTCTGTCAAGATGCTAACATGGGATAAAAGGTAAATAACAATAAAACTAAGTGATGCAAGGCATCAAATAAGTGATAGAGATGGAAGTTATCCAGAGTTCTGAGAAGGAAGCATTCAGACTGGGCTGAAGAATATGGAAAGGCTTTGTGCAAGAACAGAGACTCGATTTTACAATAGTCAGTGTTTCTCTCACCTGTTCCTCAGGTCTTTTGTTTACTGCTGATAATGACTGAAAACTATCTAATTGCAAGTTTAAGTCTTTTTCGGCTTCTTTGTTGTTTGGAAGGTGTTCATGTTTTTACAGTTAACCCTAGAATAAACAATTTTTTAATTGCACAAGTTTTTTCTGCTCTTTTCCGTCCTTGATAGTATTAAGGAAATGATCTGACACTAACCCTTAGATGAATTTTATTTGATTTACAAGTTTCCTTTTTCATTCCTCATAGAGCATATTACTCATTCATCTAGAAAAGTTTGGAAAGATTTTCATAATAGGGTTTAGTTGACAGGAATAGCAGAAAAGGGAAATGGTTCTGATGGAAGGGAATCAAGTTCAAATGTTGATGGGCTTAGGAGCAGGGACAAAAGACCCAGAGGAGGTGAAGACAGGAAGAGACACGGTGTCCTTATGGAGTTGACGTGGGGGCATGGAGGATACAGGTGAGAAACAGTGTCAGCCCTGCAGCTGGGAGCCCCTCTTAAGTCATAGACTTTTAGGACTGGCAGGGATTTCAAAGACCCCCTTCATTTTACAGATGAAGAAATAGCCTGAAGAGGCTAAGTAACTTGCTCAAGGTCACTCATAAAAGTGACAGAACTGGGATGAAAACCCACATCCCGAGTAATAAGCCAGCATTCCTACCACTTCCCCCAAGATATAAGAGTGCAGAACTCTGAACTATGGGAATGTTCCTAAATGTGGTATTTAAGGACCCTTTGCTATTGCTGTTGTTTCTAATACACCGGAGTGGTTTGGAGATGCCAAGATTAATTTATCTGATGAAGGAAGGCATGTTGTATTAACATACAGCACGTCAGCATTTCTCAGCCGTTGTGAAGCGCACTCTATGATGTTTTCTCCCCACCTTCCAGGTAGCCGTACTAGCCAAGAACAGTTATATTGAGCTTTATTTTATTTATTTATTTTTTTAAATAAATTTATTTATTTTTGGCTGTGTTGGGTCTTTGTTGCTGCGCAGGGGCTTTCTCTAGTTGCAGCCAGCGAGGGCTACTCTTCGTTGTGGTACACAGGCTTCTCATTGCGGTGGCTTCTCCTGTTGTGGAGCACGGGCTGTAGGTGCATGGGCTTCAGTAGTTGTGGTGCGCAGGCTCCGTAGTTGTGGCTCGTGGGCTCTAGAGTGCAGGCTCAGTAGTCGTGGCACACGGGCTTAGTTGCTCTGCAGCATGTGGGATCTTCCCGGATCAGGGCTTGAACCCGTGTCCCCTGCATTGGCAGGCGGATTCTTAACCACTGTGCCACCAGGGAAGTCCTTGATTGGGTTTGTTGTTGTTGAGTTGCATGAGCTGTTTATATATTTTGAAAATTAAGCCCTTGTCGGTTGCATCATTTGCAAATATTGTCTCCTAGTCCGTAGGTTGTCTTTTCATTTTGTTTTTGGTTTCCTTTGCTGTGCAAAAGCTTGTAGTAAGTTTGATTAGGTCCCATTTGTTTATTTTTGCTTTTATTTCTATTGCCTTGGGAGTCCTTTAGCAATTCTTAATGAAATTAAAGTGAAATGAAAGTTACATACTCTCAGTATTTGATGCAAAGAAAACATTTGTTTTTCTTTTCTTTTTTTCCCTAGGTGGTTCTGGAATGGAGCCGGGATCAATACCATGTTTTGTTTGATTCCTACAGAGACAATATTGCTGGGAAGTCCTTTCAGAATCGGTGAGAAGAGATCAGTTTTGGAGAGTAGCTCATTTGGGCTTAAATAAGCCATGAAATCACCCATGCTTTAAGTAGAACAGTTGAAGGGATCTTTCCAAGTTGTAGGTATGGTTTAGCTTGTTGAAGACTACTCCCATGTGAAGGAACCTTGTAATCCATCCTCACGTTTTATGGATGAAAAATTTGATTGCCAAAGAGCAATCCTGCTTTGCAGTATATTGAGTACTTTAAGTTACATGATCTCGCTTTGTCCTTGCCCCAGTTCTGTGAGGTCAAGGTAATTCCATCCCCCTGTAGGACGAGGAAGCCAGGAGGCTACTCTGCAGCCACTTCCAGGCCCCGGCCAGTGTTCTTCTGTTGACATCACTGTGTTAACCAGGGCATCTGCTATGGTATCCACCAGGACTGGACGCCCACATGCCCCTGTGGTCACCACATCTGGCTGCCTCGCTGTGGGGAGGAGCAAACAACCTCACAGGTTGGGTCTTTTTCTCCTTAAAGCCAAGCTTCTTGGTGCAGCCACTCCTGAATGCTGCCTTCACCCTTTTCCTTGGAGACTTTTTCGTCCCTCACAAGACAGACCTCAAAGTGAAAGCAATCTTTTCCAACATCCTCCTTCCCTTCTCACAGCTAAAATAAGTCACACACGGTCTATTCATTTTTTTGTCTGTAAAACTGTTACTTGTATGGTTTTATATCATAAAAGCAATATATGTCTATGGTCAAAAACAGTTCAAATATTATAGAAAAAGAAAAAGTAAAGCCTCTCTCTGTTCCATTCTGAATTTCCCCTGACCCAGAGGAACCATGGTTAATGAATTTTTGTTTTGGATTCTTCTGGTGACCGTCCTTTCAACTTAAAAAAAAAGAAAAAAACCCAAAAATACAAGAAACGGAGTTCTCTCCTTTTTGGTTTACTCACTTTATGCAGTATCTATTGACTGCTTTCCATTGTAATGGCGCACACCTGATCACTATAGGGCAAGCAGCACGGGGTGACCAAAAACAAATGTGAGGTAGCTTACAAAGGTAGTTAACCTCACAGATAGATCTTGGTCTGACTGTCAGAGGCCATAATCAGAAACTTCCCTAGATCCTGACTGTCGATTTTCCCTTGAGGATAGACACCATAAGTCCTCCCCTCTACCTTCACTGAACCAGAAAGCCTAGTGGAAGTATAAGTAGTAATTGGTGTCAATTGATGCTCTTGGACCATGTTCTGGGAGCCTCTAGACTGCGTCGGCAGTTCTGCTGGAGCTCTTGTCCCCGCTTAGAAGCACTTCGTTGCGCCTCTATCCACTTGTTATGAGTGCCTATATGGTCCCTATCAAATAAGTAGTTTTTTAATAAAGCTGTGCTAATAAGACATAGAGTTATGCACTATTATAGTCCTGAACCTCTCAGCGAAGAAGGGCTGTAGGATTCCTTGAGTTCGCCTAAGCTTTACTGTAAGCAAGTGAATGGCAAAGTAGGGAAACTCTAGATCTTTCTCTTAGCATCTCTTAAAACAGCAGTTTCCAAAGAACCTGGGCGATCTGCGAAATCAGAGCTATATTTATAACAACGCTGAGGTGTGATTTGCCTTTTGTTACTGTGTTGACATTTACACGAATTGTGTAAAAGCCATGGTGGGTAAAATTGCCACACCTTAGCACAAGCCACCACCACATATCTGCACGGGGCAGAAGAAAGCCGGTTCACTTAAGAATGTTCCTCAGGAATTAGTAAAAATCGTTGATTTGATTCTACCCTGACCCCGTGAGTACACACTTTCTTAATGTTCTGTGTCATGCAACGGGATGTACACCTCAGGCACCTGACTGCATGGTGATTGTCTTGAGGAAAAGCCCTCTTGTGGTTGTTTGAGTTGCAACCTGAACTCACTGTTCTGTTTCATGGATCACCATTGTTATAACTTGAAAGGACAGATGACAGTGTCATTGCTCAGACTTGGTTATATTTGGCAGGTATTTTCTTGACAGGGAACAAAGCGATCCTGTGTTTGAAAGGAAAGAAATGATAGTATTTGCTGCCAAAGATAAAATATGAGCTTTGAAGTGAAAATTAGAATTTTGGAAAACTTGTTTCCACCACTGTAAGCCTAACAGCTTCACAGTACTGTAAAGACTTCTCTGATTAGATTTGCAGCATTATCCAAGAAAATTGCATTTGTTAATATTATGTAAGAAAATTAAGGAAATATGTCACCATTTGGCAGAGCTGCATAACTCAGTAAGCTGTTGTTTTCCAGATAACCAATGCATTGATGTTACAGAATTTCACATGGGTGAAAGCCATTCAAAGTTCAAGAAAGACCAATGGATTTTAATGTAAAAGCACAAAAAGTTCATTAATGTAGTTTCAGATTACACATTGCAACTAATTTTTAAGAAACTTCCACTTATTTTGGTGTAGTATCAAAGAAGAATATCCACTGTTATTTGAAAAGGCTATTAAAATACGCCTCCCCTTTCCAAGTACGTATCTGTGGGCTTGGATTATCTTCAACCAAAAGAACATATGGGAACAGATTGAATTCAGATGATTTGAGATGCTTGCTTGCTTGCTTCTACTAAGTCATTAAAGAGATTTGGAGAAATGTAAAGCAATGCCTCTCTTCTCACCAAATTGTTTTGTTGTTTCTGAAAATACTGCTATTTTCATTTAGTTTTTATTTTATTTTATTTCTTTTTAATTTACTTATTTTTGCTGCGTTGTGTCTTTGTTGCTGTGCGCAGGCTTTCTCTAGTTGCGGTGAGCAGGGGCTACTCATCATTTCGGTGCGCGGGCTTGTCCTTTACGGTGGCTTCTCTTGTGGTGGCACGTAGGCTCAGTAGTTGTGGCTCTTGGGCTCTAGAGCGCAGGCTCAGTAGTTGTGCCGCACGGGCTTAGTTGCTCCGCGGCACGTGGGATCTTCCCTGACCAGGTCTTTAACCGTGTCCCCTTCATTCGCAAGCAGATTCTTAACCACTGTGTCACCAGGGAAGTCCTATTTTATTTTTAAAAAATATTTATTTATTTATTTGGTTGCACCGGGTCTTAGTTGTGGCTTGCTGGCTCCTTAGTTGTGGCATGTGAATTCTTAGTTGTGGCATGCATGTGGGATCTAGCTCCCTGACCAGAGATCGAACCCAGGCCCCCTGCATTGGGAGCGTGGAGTCTTAACCACTGCGCCGCCAGGGAAGTCCCTGCTCTTTTCATTTAAAAAGTTATTTATGTTAACCCATGAAGGGGTTTATTATTGTTTTAAAATGAATTTTTGAATGTCTGATTTATTTTCGAAAATGGCAAGTGTGAATCATTAGAGAAATGCAGATCAAAACTACAATGAGGTATTATCTCACACCAGTCAGAATGGCCATCATCAAAAAATCTACGAACAATAAATGTTAGAGAGGGTGTGGAGAAAGGGGAAACCCCCTGCCCTGTCGGCGGGAATGTAAATTGATTCAGCCACTATGGAGAACAGTATGGAGGTTCCTTAAAAAACTAAAAATAGAACTACCATACGACCCAGCAATCCTACTACTGGACGTGTACCCTGAGAAAACCATAATTCAAAAAGAGTCATGTGTCACAATGTTCATTGCAGCACTATTTACGATAGCCAGGACATGGAAGCAACCTAAGTGTCCATCGACAGATGAATGGATAAAGAAGATGTGGCACATATACACGAGGGAATATTACTCAGCCATAAAAAGAAATGAAATTGAGTTATTTGTAGTGAGGTGGATGGACCTAGAGTCTGTCATACAGAGTGAAGTAAGTCAGAAATAGAAAAACAAATACCGTATGCTAGCACATATATATGGAATCTAAAAAAAAAAAAAATGGCTCTGATGAACCTAGGGTCAGGACAGGAATAAAGACACAGACGTAGAGAATGGACTTGAGGACACGGGGATGGGGAAGGGTAAGCTGGGATGAAGTGAGAGAGTGGCATGGACATATATACACCACCAAACGTAAAACAGATAGCTAGTGGTAAGCAGCCATTAAAAAAAAAAGGAAGTAAATTATATCCAACCACACACACACACAAAAAGAAAATAGCAAGTGTAGATAGTTATAACCTAAAAACAAAAGCTTTTGGGGTTCCTTAAGAATTTTTAAGAGTGTGAAGTGTCTGGACCCTAAAAAGTTTGAGAATAATTCCTTAATGTAGCAGTTCTCAGGCTTCAGTGTACAGCAGAATTCCATAGAGGGCTTGAGAAAATACAGTTCCTCCCCACCTCCTGAGTTTCTGCATCTGTAGGTCTCAGAGGGGTGCAGAGAATTTTCATTTCTAACAAGTTCACTGGTGATACTGAAACCGCTGGTCTGGTGACCACACTTTGACAGCTATTGTATTAACGGATTCTTAATGAAACATAATTTTCCTCCTTCTCCAACTTTTATTTTAACAATGCTGATTTTCTGAAGAAAAGCTCAAAATGGCCTTCTTTTACTCCCAACATTTATTGAGTACTCACTCAGCTTACTGTGTCTGATGCTGTGCTGCGTGCTGATGGTGCACAGATGCATAAGTCTCTGCCTGGACGGAGCCTCAAAACTTTTAGAAGGAGAACTAGCTCAGAAAATCTAGATACTGAGGTCAGCAGTTTTAATCAAACACTCTTGTTCTCTTTCTGAAGGGTGTGTGTGTGTGTTTTAAATATTTCTTCTCAATTTTAGATTGCATTAAAATATAGTTTGATTTTTATGTAGGGATATTTCAAAATTATCTAATTTCGATGATGACAAGAAAATGGATCATATGTAATATCTAAGATGTTCTAATATATTTAAAAAAACCATAATGTTTATAGGAAGTTTTCATTGTTTTGCTATTGTTTCTACATGTCTTTTTAATGTTGTTTACCCTGAATGAAAATAAAAAATCCCATTCTATATGCCAGTAACAAATGAATATGTGAACTGTCTACTGCTGCTAATTGTGAAGCCTTAAGTCAGTCTGGGCTCAATTTTGTCATCTCTAAAATGTAGATATTAGCTTAAGTGTAAAATCTCTTCCAGCTTTGTTTCTAAGATACTATTCATGTTCTAAGTTTTCTTCTCTGCTTTATGTGATGTAGAACCAAGGGACTATTAAGTGCCTTCATATTCACTTAAACTAACTAACTAAAATGAAAGGTATCACCACGGCTTTGGTTCTGAATCATAGATAACTTTCTTAGTCTTCAGCTCTAAGATAAAGGCTTCCTTCTCATCTGGAAACTAAGATAGTGGTCTGTGGTTAGAACAAAAGACTCACACTCACTGTGACCATGTCTAATAAGTAGAAAAACAACTGACTCACTGACCAGGGGCAGATCACACGGTCTCCTCAGGGTTGTCTGTTTAACACCAGAGAACTGGATTGATCATGTAATACAGCCTTACTAGAAGCACCAGGACATAAATGCATTATTACTTATGCTGTTTTCCTCAGTTGAACTTGCATGGATATCTCTTGACTCTATTAAAACAATCTTTAATAGCAGATAATTACTCTTACAGAAAAGCTTTGGAATGTGCAAATGTTTGCCTCCTTTTTAAAAGCCTTTTCTTTCTAAAATATGTCACTTAAGCTTTTTTTTTTTCCAAATTAATTTTTAGTCTGAGCATAGATAGATCACCTGTGAACTTGGGCGTGAGATGACTCTGGATAATTTACTTGCGAGTAATGTGAGGCATTTTTTTTTAAATAGAAAAGACTAATGTTTATGTTGAGGGAATGAACTAATAGTTATTTGGACAGTAAATACATATTAAACTGCACTATGTCCCAGGCACTATTCCTAGGCATGTAGTGATGAACAAGAGGAACTCACTGACCTCATCTAGAACTGATATTTTAGTGGGGAAGGCTTTTTTTTTTTAAACTTAAAAACACGAACTATAATCTACCTATAAATCAGTAGTTCTCAATGTGAGTTTTTGGACCAGCAGCATTGGCATTACTTGGGAACTTGTTGGAAATGCAGATTCTGGGGCCCCACTCCAGACCTAATGAATCAGAGACTCTGGGGATGGAGCCCAGCCATCTGTTTTGAAAGTCCTACAGGTGATTCTGATGTCTGCTAACATTTGGGAACCATCCATATAGCCACATGCAGAAGAAAACGTAGATGAGGAAGCATTTGCATATCATTACAGTAGGGAGAGAGAGCCTGAGCCTGTACAGGAAAGAGAGGAAATAATTAATGAAGAGGGACACAGAATGCATGACACCATTTTTGCCTTAGAGATAGTTGATCTAGTGGAAGACAGACATCAAAACAAATAGTACAACCAGTATGCTAAGGATTCTTTAGAGTACAAAGTACAGTGGAAGTTGCTTCTTAAGCAGTATATTTTCTTTGTGGGAGGTGAGGGAAGAGGGCATTTGGGGAATGAGGAAGTGGTTAAAAAGAAGCATGAAAGAAAGGATATTCTAGGCAGAGGGAGAAGCATGTTCAAAGACACAGAAGCCTGCAAGTTCTTATCCTGTTTGGGTAAGGGCATACACATGGAGCATCTCGAGCACAGGGTATAGATTATGAAGGAGTTTAGATTTTATCCTACAGGCACCTTTACGGTGGTGCACCTTTACGGGAGGGTTGGTAGATGCTCAGCTGTCACTTGTGTCTGAGTATGAGCTGATTGATTCCGCATTTTCCACCTGAAGCTCTGGGTCCCCTGGAACCTCTTTGACCTTCATCTCCTCTTACGTCCTTCCTTTTGCTCCTGTTGTCTCTGCCACACTGGCCTCTAGTTCCTTAACCATGCCAGATAGGCAGCTGCCTCAGGGCATTTGCACATGATGTTTCCCTTCTCTGGGCTCTTCTTCCCCAGTTGCCCACATGGCCTGCTTCCTCACTTCCTTCATCTCTTTGCTGAAATGCCACCTTTCAGTAAGGCCATCTCTGCTCTCCCTGTTTAAAACTGACCCCCCACTTAGATGTACTGTGTATCCTCATTTTCTTTATAACATGGAACATCATCTGACTTCACTTATTTGGTTTATTTCCTGTCTTCACCTTTCTAGAATGTAACCTTCATGAAGGCATAGATTTTGTTTTTTGTTTTTTTTTCTGCTGAGTCCCCAGCACCTAGAACAGTGCCTAGCACATACTGAGTGCTCAGTAAATATTTATTCAACAAATGGATAAGCACTCCTTTCATCCAGTCATCTCACCTGCTTCTTTTAAGCTGTGTGTTTGTCACTCTATTTACTTTTTTCCTTCCATAATTTGAAAGATTTATCCACCAAACTGCATTTGTTTTCCCCTGAGATAATTAACCCTGTGGCCAAAAGTCATGTTTTGGTTAGTCTTGGGAGCCCTTCGTGCTGCTGGGGGCCTGATCCTGTGCCTGGCCTGTGAGAAAGACAAAAGGAGGGTAAGCTTTAGGTCCTTGGCCTAAAAATAACCCAGCAACCAAAAAAACACCCCCCCCAAAAACAAAACAAACAAAAAAACTGTACTGTTTCTTGGAAAAGATCAAACCTGAAACAGAATTATCCAAATTATGTCTATGTCACTATGAACTCCCGTGCTGTAGGTCTGGAGCAGACTCTGAAAGATGGTTAGGATTATGGTAAGTTGATGAAGGAAAGGAGAAGAAAGCTTTCAGCAGGGGTAAAACCTGAACAAAAACACTGAGATGGAGCTTAGGATACTCAAGAATTAAAAGCCTGCCTGACTCCTTAGGGGTAAGATAGTAAGGGAAAAATCAAGCAGGTTCGGGAAGGTCTTCTATGCTAGTAGTGTTCAAGTAAATCATTGAGTTCCTCACGTTGCAGGCACAAATCCTAATCCGCTGGGTACTCTAGGGAACAAAACAGGTATGTTTCCTGCTGCCTTGGAACTTACATTCTAGGGGAGGGACACATGAATTACCAGTGTATGTAACATGTTAATTATTTCATAGGTGATCATTGCTATGAAAGAAAAAAAACAGAGCAGGGCGAACAGGATGGGGAGGGGCCAGGCTTGGGGGCAGCTGGGAATGGGAAGCCTGTAGCATTAAAGAGGGCCAGGTCTTCATCGGGGACTGCTGGCTAACTCTTTTTTTTTGGTAATTTTGTTTAAGCTTCTAATTTCTTTTCTATGTTTGGCTGCATTTGTATCCCAGCTTTCTCACTTGCTAAACTGAGAATGTAGCAGTTTAAAGTGAGCTTCTAAGACCTCCCCCACAGCCTTAAAACTGAAGGGACAGCAGCCTCCACCGGGTAGCTGTGATGATCAGACGATGCAAAACTGCATAAAGTGTCTAGCAGAATGCAACTCACAGAGAAGGGGCTCAGTAAATATTAGTGCCCCAACCCCAGTTTGAAAGCATGCAAGTCTGTGGTATACGCCATGGTTGGATCACCTTTTCGCTGATTTTTTCATAACCTCTGAGTTTAAACCCTGTCATGCTCTTATTCCCAAGTATGTTGGCAACATGCATATAAGCTGGAGGACTTGTGTGTTTACCCTAGGCTCTGTCTGCCCATGCCCATCGACGTGGTTTACACCTGGGTGAATGGCACGGATCTTGAGCTACTGAAGGAACTGCAGCAAGTCAGAGAGCAGATGGAGGAGGAGCAGAAAGCAATGAGGTAAAACTGATCGTCAGAAAACAAGACACACAAAGCTCTACACTTGTAACTAATGGTACATTTCAGAAGGTAAGATGATGCTTACACTGCTGTTCAAACAAGAATCTGCATCTCAAATTCATGCCGTTACAAGATTCTGGCAGTCATGCAACCGACCCTTGTTTCTTGGCGCCCAAGGAGGACTCGGCCACTTCGGTGAGATCTTGGCCTCACTTTGTCAGGTGGCCATCTAATGAATGTGGTGTTCTAGTGACGCCTTGGTCTCCAAAGGGCCTAAAGGTGGAGGAGCCACCTAAGGGAGCCCTGGGCTTCCTGCTCATTCAGTCTGAGTCCCAGATGTGATAGCTTCATGAAGTAAGCTTTTATTATGCAAAATTGCTACACAGTAAGATGGATTAGTCCCTTGAAAATAAAACAGGCCTGCAGACATAAGTTTTTTTCCATTTGATAAAGGCAGTAAAAAGTATATTTGTTACTCTTTTTAATATCAAATAGTATACTGTGGAACTAGAAACCTTGGTAATTTTTTTAAATATGGAATTTTGATTATCTTATTTATCTGGGAAAAGTACAGTGGGCTTCTGGAGAGGCTTCTGAGCTGGAGATCTGGCTGATGTAACTTCCCTCTGATTCCTCAGGAGCATTTACTGAGAATTTCCCCGTTCATTTCTTTGTAAATGTTATGGGTGCCCCCCAGTTGCAGGTCTTTGGCCATGTTATACTGCAGCACATTTGTCTCTCTCTCTGTGCTCCTCCCCAGTGCATGAAAATCACTTTGATAGCCTCGTAACTATGTTTTACTAGTAAATGTAAAAGCTTATATTTTAAGTAAACTTTTGTGGTTACTGTGGGTGGTACATGATAATATTTGTTGGTCATAGCGTATTAAAATGTATAACTTATTATGCATCTTAAATGTTATACACAGTACAATACTTCTTAACTTACTGGTTGGTTCTCGTGGAGTAACCAGGAAAATCAATGTTGTTAAGTTCCCTCATTCACATGTAAGTCTAGCACTAGTCCATGCATATATAATGAAATCGATTTGCTTTCACTAGAGAAATCCTTGGGAAGAACACAACGGAACCAACTAAGAAGAGGTAAGCATTTTGATTTTCCTCTCAGTAATGAAAATCAAAGGAGTGAGGTGAGACGTCTAGGTTCTTCTTCCTTGCTTTTGTTGATTACACAACAAAACAGAGTAAGTATTTTTTACTCACTCTGTTGCTCCTGTTCAGTCCCTCTTCTTTTGGTTTTTGACCCGCAAATTAAGTGCATCCATTAGATGAGAAAACAGAGGCACAGCTGATTGAGAACTGTGGTTGTTCTGGTTGCAGCTAACCAAAACTTTATCGTTTCTAGATACGTTAAGGTAAGGTTTTTCTTCTTTGTCGTTTCCATTAATCTGTCTTGATGTGCTGCTCTCTCGGTTCACTTAAGTCTAACTTACATCAGTGTTTTCATTTATAGAATCTATGTCCATTGTTTAACTGTGTGTTCAGTGTATATTTCCTTATCTTTAAAAGCTGTCATAGTTGTATGTCTTATATTTAAGGACTTGGGAAGGAGATTTAACCCAATGGCAAGAATCAGATGATCTCTCTTGATTTGAATCATACCTGACTCTGATAGGTCCTTAAAACAAGACTGTCTCACTAACAAGTGGAAATCTCTGTTAACTGCCACTTCCCCACTGAACCATTAGACTTAAAATAGAAGAGTTATTCATAGAAATGATCCAAAAGTGCCTTCTGAATCATCTGTTAATGTTAATTATGCATATTTATTTATAAATACCTATTGCTAATACTGTTATTTTTATTTGTTTATTTTTTAATTAATTTATTTTTGGCTGCATTGGGTCTTTGTTGCTGCACATGGGCTTTCTCTAGTTGCGTTGAGCGGGGGCTAGTCTTCATTGTGCGTGGGCTTCTCATTGCAGTGGCTTCTCTTGTTGCAGAGCACAGGCTCTAGGTGCACTGGCTTCAGTAGTTGTGGCTTGTGGGCTCTAGAGAGCAGGCTCAGTAGTTGTGGCGCACGGGCTTAGTTGCTCCATGGCATGTAGGATCTTCCCGGACCAGGGCTCAAACCTGTGTCCCTGCATTGGCCGGCAGATTCTTAACCACTGCACCACCAGGGAAGTCCCCAAGACTGTTATTTTTAAATGACGTTTAAATTAAAGCAATGATGCAACATTACAGAAAGGTCGAGAGGAAAGACAAGAACTCATATAATTCTTTGGCCCTCACTCAACAATTATGATCATTTTCTTATTCCATTTTCATGTATGTTTTTATAGTAAATAATTTATAATCTTTGCAATTTTGTGTCCTACTTTTTATTTTATATAATCATACATATTTCTGTGTTGATAAATTATCGTAATACTTCTTATAAATTTTAATAGTTATATAATATTCCATAAAGTAACTCTACTATAATTTGCTAAATGTTGGGCACTGCCATATTTTCACTTTGTAAATATTTTGTGATATTATATTTGGGCCTATGGCATTTTCTGTGTGTGGGTTTGTTGTTTTTCCTGGTTTTGTTTCTCTTCTACTTGGACTAGATTCCTGGACATCAACTAATGAGGAAGAAACGTATGTATGTTTTCATGGGTCTGAAGAAGTATATATGTATATATAATGTAATTGCTTTTCCAAAGAGGAAATGGGGAACCCATCTGGAGGGATACCTGCAGAGTTTGCTGCACTTGCACTAACATTGCATCATCATTTTTTGAGGGGTGCTAATTTAGTTAAACAAAAGGTCATTGTTTTCTCTTGCATTTCTTTGAATATTAGTGAGGTTGCACAATTTCATGTAGTCTGTTAACTGGTCATAGCTCCCACCTTCTGAGTTCTCTAGCTGTGTCCTTTGCCCATTTGTTTAATTTAGGTATTTCTTATGTTTAGACAGGAATATTTCACGTAACTTCATAAAACTTTGTCACATTTGCTTTTGTTTGCATCAGTGTCCTGTCACATTCAGTGTACTTAATTGTATTCTAGTTGGAATTGGTAAACTGTTTCTGGTAAGATGACACTCTGTTAACCAGAAGTTTTCTGCTTCCTAATCTGTCTGATATTGGGCTTTACTGGAATTACAAATAATGTTTAAAACAGTAGTAATGAAGTGCTTAATTTCTTGTACACCTTTGAGTTAGTAAATTTTGTGGCAGTCTTATTTTATTTTTTAAATTTATTTAATTATTAATTAAATTTTTTTTGGCTGTGTTGGGTCTTCGTTGCTGCACATGGTCTTTTTCTAGTTGTGGCGAGGAGGGGCTACCCTTGGTTGCGGTGCATGGGCTTCTCATTGCAGTGGCTTCTCTTGTTGTGGAGCATGGGTTCTAGGCGTGTGGGTTTCGGTACTTGTGGCACATGGGCTCAGTAGTTGCAGCTCGTGGGCTCTAGAGAGCAGGTTCAGTAGTTGTGGCTCACGGGCTTACTTGCTCCACAGCATGTGGGATCTTCCTGGACCAGGGCACGAACCTGTGTCCCCTGCACTGGCAGGCGGATTCTCAACCACTGCGCCACCAGGGAAGTCTGCAGTCTTATTTTATCAACAGGAGTTTGAAAGCTCTATCTTTCGAGTTGCATTTGTTTGATAATTTTATGCCATGCTTGCTAACTTACTAAATTTTTATATTCTTGAGATAAAATTCCTTGTTTATTGAAAGATCATGATTTTTAAATAAAACATAGAAGAAACACCTGTGAAAGTTAGTGGTACCAGCAGGCTTTTCAGTGTTGATTAAATTTTCAAGCATGTAGTTGTGAGCATGTTCGTGTCTCTTTCCAGTGAGAAGCAGTTGGAGTGTTTGCTGACACACTGCATTAAGGTGCCAATGCTCGTCCTGGACCCAGCTCTGCCGACCAACATCACACTGAAGGACCTGCCATCTCTTTATCCTTCTTTTCATTCTGCCAGTGACATATTCAACGTTGCAAAACCTAAAAACCCTTCCACTAATGTCTCAGTTGTTGTTTTCGACAGTACAAAGAATGGTAAGATGTTCTTGTGGGTATTTTAAAATCATGTTATCATTAGATGTTGGAATAACAAAATTTTGAATGGAACAGAATTGGTTCACTTTTAAAGAAATGCCTGATAAACCAAAAATGTAAAAAGGGGAGCTGCCATTGTATTTCAGCCCTGCTGTCAGAAAGGGATTGCATCTATTTTACTCTGTGTAATACACATGCTTTCCTGTGCTGTGGTCAGGACCTTAAACCTGGTACTCAAATTTACTGTATTCTCTTGGCTGGGAGTTATTCAGGAGGCTTTATTATTTCTCTTTTTTCTTTCCAAATTCCTCAGCAAGTTTGTTTTCTGCAGCTTGGACTGACCATACTTGGAGCATTCATACTTTAAGTTCTGAATCATCTGGTTATGCAGTTGATTTGGCCCGATAATAGAATTAAATTTGTAATTCTTGACATAGAACTGCACCCGCATCCTTAGAGATCCCGTCCTCTCCTTGCCACTGAGCTGCTGAGCCCCACGTCTGCGTCTCCTTCAATCATCCTTCCTTTTGTCTCATCCTTCCTCTGTGCTGAGTGACTCTCCCAGGAAGCTCTGTTTTCACTTGTGTAAAATGAAAACTGTCACATTCTCTTTACAGCCCTGTTCTCAAGTTCCCAATCTTTCAATACCGTACCTCCCAGCCTAAATCTTTGGAACCATCTTTGACCCGTTCGTACTCTAACCAGTAATCCGCCTCATCCTATGACTTGCTTTTTTGCAAGGATCTTAAATTCTTACCTTTCATACTCATCAGATTTCTTCTACACCAGGCTGAGTTTCTTCACCCAGGCCCCAATAATAGATGCCTGTCTGCTCTGCCAGCCTCTAAAGTTCTTCTCTGATCTGTCTAGCATAAAACTGATAAAATCAGAGTTTTCCAATTTGTTTACAGTTGCTATCCCTTTGGAGAGAATAATAGTAGTATATATTTGTTTTTCACATGGACACAAATTCCTCTTGCTGGTGTTCCAGATGGAGTTTTAATTGCCTTGGTCCTGCCCATCGGCCCTCGCATCCCTGCCCTCCTTGCATCTCCTCACAGCCGCCGGCGTCTTCTCACAGATGTGGGGCTACCTGTCCTGAGCCTCTTCCTCTCCCAGCCCATCTCCTATTCTTTCCAGCCCCCTCTCCAGTTCTGTCTCCTTGGAGATCCTGGACTAGTACATTCACAATGATTTTATTTTTCTGTATCCCTGTAGTACTTGTAACCTAACTCACAACTTAGTTTTTGAGTGCACAGGAGTTTATGGTGTTCTCATCTAATTTCTTTCTTTTTTTTTCTTTTTTTTTTTTTTGCGGTACGCGGGGCTCTCACTGTTGTGGCCCCCCCCGTTGCGGAGCACAGGCTCCGGACGTGCAGGCTCAACGGCCATGGCTCATGGGCCTAGCCGCTTC